TAGATTATTTTGGATTTTTTAAAACTTTCAAAAGAAATAATGTTCTCAATTATATTGCTGTCTGTCTGTTTGAAATATATAGATTCTGTATCAGTGAGGAAAAGCGACGACATTACAACCAATGAATACAGGAATGACATCAGTGCAAGATGGCCGATAACGGGTGAGTGTTTTATTGATTTGTTAAATTAAAATAAAGGTTCATCAACATTTTCATTTCACAGATTGCCACTGAGGTAAAAATCGAAAGAACAATTCAACATTCTTGTTTCTACCGACAAAAGGGGATTGAATAGTTTAAACCTATCTTATTATAGGGAACAGTCATATTGATACAAGCGTCTGAAAGGTTCTATTGAAGTCTCGAAAATCACATAATCTTAATTGCATCCAAAAATGCACCATATGCCTTACAAAGTTATGACCAGAAGCGAAATTTAATAAAGGATTGACCTTGTACACTTAATAATTTATCGTAAAGATTTTCAATAAACGAAAAATATATCAACGCTTGATTGATTGTAAATAAACATTTACCATAAATATGACCATGTGTACATATTCAGCAGCCTAACGTTTACAACAGTATCATTGGGACCCATGTCAACAAAACATGTAGTTAAAATACTTTCTTTTATCATACAAAAATCATTCTAAAATTTTAAGGTTTTAAAATTTCGTTTCAAAGACGCACGTGTTTTGCAAGTAAGTATTTTTACATTGTAGTTGTCGCGTTATAGTGAACACATTACATAGTGGATGAAAGTTATATTCCTAGAACTCATACATTTTGTTTTTTTATTTTGAATTCTAATGCAATATGGCATGTAAGCCCACTTTTGATTACGTCGCATAATTGCAGTCCAGGTGACTAGGGTATTTCAAAAGATGGTTCGAGTATTTCATATTATAAAAAGTGATAACAGTACTGTATTGGAAGCGTTTCTGGTATCAATTCGGATTTAACACATGTGCCAATCAATCAATCTAAAATATCGACATTTGGGCATCTGCAACACTTGAACTGTTGACGTCATACATCAATGATTTTTTTTTTTTGTGGCGTCAGACGTTTTTTTTTTATGACGTCACTAATTACTGGAAAATCTGAAACGTCCACTAATTACGAACAAATAGCGATACAATGTTTTTAAACAGTTACAGTTATCTTCTTAATGAAAGTATATATTGTTTTGTCTATGATGTGAAAAGTTACTTTTTAGCTACCTGTATTATAACAAAATCGTAAAAGCTGTCACTTTATTGTTTTAAAAGACCTAGCGTAAAGCCATTGCACTGGTTTCATATGAAATGTCTGTTTCAGGACTATGGCAGTTAATCGCCATTTGTTCTCATTAGAATCGTCTTAAGATATTTTCTTGACGTTTAGCACATTTGTATTCACTATTCTTTATTTAAGGGATGAAATGTACATTTGTACATTTGTATATTTATATAATATATGCATTGTTTACTTTGTTATAACAGTACTCGTATATCTACTTTTTAACAGAAAACTCTACACCGAGCTCATTATTGGTGGCAAATAGTGAATTAGAAGTTCTGAGAAGTTCTGTTAATTATCTTTCAGTCGAATTGCAGACCTTGGAGGATAAGTATGAGAAAGGTGAGTGATATATTAATAACGAAAGTAAGCAGCTGATATGTTATTCCTTTAATTGCTATGGTTAACTGTCTACCTTTGTTTTGTTTTAGTGTATCTGTTAGAATTAGCAAGCACAAATGCAAAGACATCTTGAAAATAACTTTATATTCTACATGATTGTTTGAGACTTCAAAAGCTACGTAGGTCAATATAAGTTTAATGTTATTATATATACACTTGGAAAATAATATCTCACCTCTTGTAAAAATGACAGGTAAAAGTTCATTTTATTTTTTTATAGATTTATATATACATGTATATATGAATAATGTTTACCTTTGTTAATTTTATACCTGTATCACATCGAATATTTGTTAAAACGTCATAGTTTTACAATTCGAGTTATGAAATTAAAGCCATCAATCGTTTTACTTCTACAAAAGTATCAACTCACTGTTGTTAAAGACAAGCAAAAATGCTTGGAGACCTAGAAAAACATCTACTCGAGAAGATGCTGTTGTTGGAGGCTACAAAGACGAAACCTGTTCTCAAACAATACTTTGTTAAAACTCAGTTATTGTCCCGCTGTGTATTTCGAGCAGAATGCTGCGAAATCGTCAGAAAGAAGTTGGATATCGATTCAGAAGACCAAATAAAGAGAACGTTGTTAGCTAACAGTCACGTGGCTAACCGTTTGGCAAGGTTCCAAGCGCGTTGCCCCTATATCTTGGTAATATGGATAAAAAACATTGACCAAATCCTTTTTTCTGTTTCACGTAACAGATAGACGAGTCAGTCCGTGTATGGCGACAATCTAATGATACATATGCAAAATAGAACAAACTAGAGATATATCCTTTCATTGTATAAGGATGAATGTCATATGTTACTTTGATATCATCACGAGAGTAGGCAACCGTAAATTTCAACAGTACCAAAGAGAAATCCTGGACACAGCCATAGATTCTCGTTTCGACAACCGCCCTTTGCAGAAAGACCAATATTTATGAACTGTCCCTTTTGTGATCGACTTCATACAAAAGGAAGCTATTACGACTATTTCTCGGTCTTATATGCGCGCATATATGATCCACATGGAACATATCTTGGACATAATTGATCTTCGTGTAAGTTAGAGAGTTCTGCAAGTTCAGAATCTTGCTGAATAAGCTCAAGCTTTGCATCCGGAATTCCAATATCATGTTAATTGTAACCGCTGAAACATATTGTCACTTTCCAAACAAACGGAATTGTGCTATTGGACGTTTCTAACTAGAAGCAACCAAAGTTAAGCATTGTCAATTTCAAATATCGGTGACATCCGCATGTTTCAAAAAACTTCAGTTAATTAAAAAAATGTTCAACCTTTTTATTCTATTTATGCCAGAGTTTTTTTCAATCACAAAATGACCTAAGGTATATACTTATATCCAGATGTATCGTATGCATTGAATAGATAAGAAAACTTCGAACATTATTCGGGTAAGTCGTGAGGGGGCATGATTTTTTGTCAAGAATACTGTTAATTCCCCTGGAAGGCATTATTTGTTTTAAAGAGTTTCTATACACAAGCAAATTGGAAAAGATTACAAACAAATGATTAAGAAATAATTATTGTGTCTGTAGGTTATTGAAAAATAGTTTATTATTTGTTGAAGTAGGGTAAAACAAAGGTCATAGTACATGTATCTGTAAAAGTCTAAATCTGTTCTCAACATGCTCATGTGGGTAGTAAATTATGGTTTACAATATACTTTTCAGATCGATCATAACTTTTTTTTTATAATAACATTTAAGAACAAGACAATGTTTTTATTGTTTTCTAATTAGTGATGGAAAGCAAAAAAGTTTTTTCACTTCCATACTGAAACGATTTTTTTCTTCAAAAAAATTAGAATCAAACAATGTATTAAACCCTCCCTCCCTCCATCACACAAAAGATGATAGTTGGTGCCTGATCAGACGAGCCAAATATTTAGTTTAACTTGGCTGGACAAGTTGCAATCTTACTTTAAGTACAATAACCTAATTTATCTACAGCTAATTTAGTACATTTAATAGAAAAATAATACGATGTGGTATCACTGGTATCATTGGCAATGACACAACTTACTACCTGACTCCAAATGGCGTAAATTAAAATTATTAACTCCAGATCACCGTGCCGTGTTCAACATGACCAATTCCGCATAGCAAAAAGTAAAATAACAAAAATACTGAACTCCGATGAAAATTCTAAACGGACTTGATAAGTGAACAAAACAAAGAGACATAAAAGGTAAAAATGTCAAAAAAGCAAGCTATAAAAGGCCCCGACATAAAACAATAGGTAGAACAGTCGAGGAATTCTACATGTTTTCATCTTGAACGTTCTAGACGAAAATATTTAGATGCCAAATAAATAAAACTTTTGTCTAAAGTAAAATTTAACAAAGGAAATTGCAACCGAAGTTTTTGTACGATTACTTCTATCTATTCATCGACAGAAAATGTACATGCATTATCTTTTGAAATGTTCAAATGATTAAAAAGTTTAAGTATACATGTATATGAACTTCAAAAATAGTTCAAACCTCGAATCTCTATTCGGAAATCTAACATTTTCTTTGATTGTAATTGTGTGGTATCAAGATTTATCCCGCAATCAGCCAACTACTGTACACTACTACAAGTCAGGAATATGACAGTTGTTTTCCATTCGTTAGATGTGTATGAGATTTTGATTTTGCCATTTTATAAAGGACTTTCCGTTTTGAATTTCCCTTGGAGTTCGGTATTTTTGTTATTTTACTTCTTACTATACAAACAACAAGTAAACAAATAATTTTTTGCTTTATTTGTATTTGTACAAATAAAGTGTCCTGTTACTTCTGCGTTTAAACTATTTCGATTTCTTTGAGAAATAAAAAAAAACTATTTAGATCTAAACAACTAAACCTTAAAGCGTCGGGTGTAAATTGCAGGATAAAAATAATATATGTACATTGTTGGAAATATGATATTTATTTGTACTCGCTACGAAACACGACAAAAGCTCGGCGACCATCGCTTTTCGACCTGTTTCTAAAGCTCATACAAATAAAATTTATATTTATTGTATATCAAAATTCAGGCACATTAAACGTTTTGCGGCACGAAATTATTTTAGAAATTGACTTTAGCGGATAGCAAATGTGTTGTTGCAGTCTATTGACATAAAAACGATAATCATGAATTGTTTACAATCTAGTGGCATCGCATATAATTTCATGTTAAAATGTAGCAGTGTTTCGTTCATTCGAAATGAACTACACTTCGTTTTAACTTTGGTTGATAGTTGTCTCATTGACAATCATACCATATCTCCTTATTTTTATACATGTATACGTATAAGCAATTCTGAGTTTTTTTTCAGAGAAAACAGCTCCTGTCATGTTTTATGCTGTCATTAGAAACAAGGCATTTACCTATAACGTCGACACAATAATAGTCTTTGAGACAGCAATCGTTAACGAAGGTGGTCATTACAACAAGTATGACGGAGTGTTCTTAGCACCGGAGAAGGGAACTTATATTTTTGCTTGGACTGTAACTGGTAGCAGTTCTCATCATATTATAACTGAACTAGTGGTCGAAAATAACGTGATCGCCGGAACTGGAGAGGTAAACAATTCAGGAGGTTATCCATCTGGAGCTATGACGTCACTATGTAAAATGGAGAAGGGAGATCATGCCTGGATAAGGACAACCGGGTCTTCTACCGCTCATTATCTTTATAGTTATGATGATTATCCACAGTCAGGATTCCTTGGGCTTTTGGTGTTGACAGAATAACAAAAAAATAATTAATCTTTGAATCATTCATGTAATTTTGTTTTTTTGAACATAAATCCACTTGAAATAGATTATAAAAAAACACATTTCAGGATTATGTACCCTTTTGTTGTTTCAATGCTAAACATATGGGAATTTAAAAAAAAAAAAACCATCTGCAGTCTTTCCCCATGTACTCCTACATTTGACGATTTAGTTCTTAATGGACAGAGTGTCATTGTATGCAGTGCTAGCAAAGATTTTTCCAAAACAAGAATATAAATAAGGATATTGGTTAAAACAAGTATAAATATGGACTTATTCAAGTACACCTTCTAGGGTGCGCTCGATTTTTATTGTAAAGACTGTTTAGGACTGTTTGTAATCAATAAACGCTAGCACGTCATGAACAAACAAGTGAGTAATCTATGTTTAAATTTTTTTAACGAAAATCTCTGTATTAAAGTATGTGGATTTTCTGCAAAAATCTTTGCTTATTTGCCACAAAATCCTGTTTTCTACAAGTAGTAAATGCATTGAAGCAATCAACAGTATTGCTTTTAACAACGTTTCCCTTTGGTATACGTACACAATTGCACGTCACTTTTATTCTGTATTTTTGCTGTTTTGATATTGAAACACATTAAAAATTTCGTAATACACCGGCCTACAGAAGGGTTCATAAATCTTGATATGTTGCTTGTAAATGTAAGTTTAAGAAATTTAAATGAATTAAAGTAGTCATTTAAAAACCTAATGAAGAAATTGTGTAATAATACATCAACAGAAAGACAAGCAATGCACATTGTTAATTTAAAGAAATGTGTCTTAAATTTATTTTGTTAACGTACAGAGTCTTGCTGCTTACAAAGAAGCTATTGCACCAAGAGTGCTTAATTGTAAATGCGATTGCTTTCTTCGAAAGTTTCACAGATGATATCATAATTTGTTTAATGCATTTGTCAAATATGTGTTCCATCTGTAGAAACCCCAATCAGGTTCTTTTTTCAGGTTTATAATTATCATCGAATGCGACTTATTTATAGTTTCTTTTATATGCCATGAGCAGCACAGTGTCACTAGAAGGGTCTAGAAATATGAACCTTTAAGAGCACCAGTGTTCATATCTGGTTTTACGATGGGGTTTCGTTTAGCTCAATCTGATCTTTTGTGTTGTGTTCTTGAACAGTTGTATGTCTCTTTCTTTTGGACAGGGTTTTATCATTCTTTCATCGAATTATGTTCCGTGTTGCTCGATTTGGCATATTCTTACTTTTTACATTGAAATTTGCACTTTTGCACACGGTCTGAAAACAATATATTCATGTAGACACGAAGTCTTAGATTTTTCTAAAACTAGCCAAAAAGAGACACAAGAAAATGGCGATAGTGTTAAAATGGAAAAAGTTAAATAATGAAAATACCGAACTCCAAGGAAAACTCAAATCGGAAAATCCCTTATCAAATGGCAAAATCAAAAGCTCAAACACATCAAACGAATGTAAAACAACTGTCATATTCCTGACTTGGTACAGTCATTTCCTTATGTAGAAAATGGTGGATAAAACCTGGTTTTATAGTTAGCTAAACCTCTCACTTGTATGACAGTCGCATAAAATTTCATTATATTGACAACAATGTGTGAACAAAACAAAGAGACATAATAGGTAAAAATGTCAAAAATAGGGGTACAGCAGTCTACTTTGTGTTATAATCTTAATCATTGATTAATTGATTGATTGAATTGATGTTATCAACATTTGTTTTGTCCTTGAACCAAGATTACAAAAAGTTAAATGAAACTGTTATGCCAGAGGTTGACGTTGAATGTATTGCTTTGATAATTTAATCAGGAATATATTTAAAACTATGTTTGCTCATACATTTATGGCTCAAGTGTTAAATTGAAAATAACAACACAAGATTGTCAAAAAATGTTGAAAATTATATAGCGTAGACAAAAAAACTGTTACTTTTCTCTATTTCAACATTTTCATTCAATTCTGCCTAATAGCTTGACTTAAATCTAGAAATTGACAATGAGGGTCGGTTGAGAACAACATGTTACGACAAAACAAATTATTTCAGTTTTCTAATTGTGAACTTTCTATTTCTATGTAGCAACATTCTAGCAGCGTTTGGATATGGAGTAGATATCTCCCAATTGATACGATATTCCAGAATTTACATTTCCTATCATGATTTCCTTGATATAACAGGTTACTGCTTACAAGGAAGCTTTTAAACCAAGAATTCCATTTGGTGAAACTGAAATCATCCCTTCAAAAATTTTACGGACGCCTTCACGAGTTAGTTAGCCTTTAGGGAATATCTGTTTCATAGACGACGACAGATATGTTTCTGTTTTCGTAACAACAACCCTGTCCTCTTTTTCTCGAATGTGACATACCGAATTAGACTTATCACCGGGTTTTACTTACATGAGCAACACGATTGGTGCCAATTGATCTGCTTACACTTCCGGAGCACCTAAGATCACCCCCGGTTTTTGGTTTGATTTGTTTTGCTCAGTCTTTAGTTTTCTATGTTGTGTTTTTGATACGGTTTTTGCCTTTTTGTCTTTTTTCGTTTTTTGCCATTGAACTATCAGTTCGTTTTCGACTTTGATTATCCGTTTGGTATCTTTTGCCTTTCTTTTATACTTTTATTCTATTGGTATATTCACATTTTGATTACGTTTCTAGTGAATATAAATTTGAAAGTTTTGCTTTCGAAAAAATTGTAAGGAACGATATGTAAAAAGATAAATAAAAAAGTTCTACTTTCAACTTTCAAGTGTTCAAATATTTTAAATTATTATACAACCATTGCCTTTTAAAAAAAATTATTCTGAAATCATTCATTTTGCTATGCAAGGTTTAAAACTTATGCGATATTCATATCGTATACAAATATCGTGCTATGATGGTATCAAGTCTCTATAATGAGCATGTGCTACTATTCAAACTGCTGTGTATGTCTGACTCACATTTAATGTTGATTTCCCCTATGCGGAACGCTTCCAATAAAATAAAGATAAAGATAGTGGCACTGAATTATGCAAGTTAACATTAAAGCTTGAACATTGAATTGTAGGGTAAAAAAAAGCATACCAGTTTTCAGAGGGAAAAAATAAAATATACATTTACTTGCGTCACATCAGGACAAAGGCTTGGAAAACCCTGCATCACGTGTAACTCCCGTCGGGGTAACTATACATATGTTGATAAATAATTCCCACTTATTGGGATTAACACAAAATCGAAATAACAATTAAATAGAGCTTTCTTACAATTTGACAAAAGGTACATACGCTTGACGAATCATACGAAAGACTCATTTGAGGGGTCCTCTATTTTGACTTTTGAATTCTTTTTAAGATATGACATATTTATGTAATCTTAATCAAGGCTGTCATCGGACAAAGATAGCGTTTAGCCTCAATATTTGCAAATCAAAGACCATTATATGTGCATGCTTCAACACATATCAAACTTGAATTTTCGTGCGACATGGGAATTTCGGAACGTACGAGGTAAAAGGAACGTACGAGGAAAAAATATAATACCACGAGGGGGAAGGAGATAGCTCTAACAAAATTTGATAAAACATAGGCAAGTCAGAAGAAGAAAAAAATACCCCTAAAAATAAAAGATGGTACTCACCCCCTCCACCCCCCCCTTTGTTTTTGTTTTTGCTTAAACTCTTTATAAACTCTTTGTATTATTGAACCTAAGAAAATACCAATGCAAATATGTTGGCTTCCCACCACCCCCTCACCCCAACGAAAAAAAGAAAAATTGAAAAAAAATATATTATGGAACTCTTCTAATTAACTTGTACAGTTCCCCGGTCAATACCCCTTGTCGCCTTGCGGCAATTTCATACACTCAAGTTAGATACAGGTCTTTAAGCATTCCTATGGGATCGTTCTTTTTAGCGTGTAATTGCGTTTTCTTCCAAACTTGATTACTCTTTAATCATTAGTATTAAATATAGAAAATAAGAAGATGTAGTATGATTGCCGATAAGACCAGTTATCAACTATAGAGCATTGTACGGTCTTCAACAATGAACTAAACCCATACTGCATAGCAACCTTTAAAACGCCTGTAATGACAATTGTAAAACAATTTAACAGAAAATTCTAACGACAATGATTTGTGCACAAAATAATAAACGAAAAACAAATATGACAATCGATAACTAACAACAACCACTGAAATACAAGCTCATTTGACATGTTAATACAGAATGTGACGGCATCATTGTATATATTCTAACAGATCTTTGAAATGTTTCAGTATCTACGTCTGATTCACACTAGAGAATGTAGTTTCATAGAATCTCTGAAGCCCCGGTTTGACTGCTTGTGAATTAGATGTTAACAGTTTGTAAGAGGTTTCGTAGAGCATTTTCCAGACCCAGCAATAAAACCTTGTTTTTAAGGACATTTGTTATTTTAGCACCCAGAATACTGAAGGAAAATCATTTTCTTCATCTTTAGTTGAAATTTCAAAGGAACATAGAACAGACATATGATTGTTCAGAATATCATATTTTGTAAGTCTTTAAGTTAATGTTGAGGGTCCAAGTGATTTATTAATACCTAATACCATTATCAAGCAAGTATAATAATTCGTGTGATTTAGCAGACGGAAACGACAAAAATGACCATGAAAGTGACATCTACCCATCGGTTGTAAAAATGAAGCGGGAGATACCAAAAGGAGAATAAAAACTCATCAATTAAAGAGAGACCGACATCATGGCTAAAAAAGAAAAGCGACGAAAAGACAAACACCCATCTACAAAACACTGCACAAAAAAACTTAAAATTGGTCATTAATGTGTCTTTATTTAAAGATTCACATACTATGAATATAACTGACGTTGATTAACTCACTGGTTGATAATTACATAGAAATAAGAAGATGCGGTATGAGTGCCAATGAGACAACTCTCCATCCAAGTCACAATGTGTAAAAAGTAAACAATTATAGGTCAAAGTACGGCCTTCAACACGGAGCCTTGGCTCACACCGAACATGCATGTTTTATCCTTAATTTTTGAAAATCGGTGTAATAATTGCAGTTTCTGGTCTTGTGGTAAAATTCCATTTTATAAAGATTTGTTGAATATATTATAAAGAGGATAAAACAATTCAATAGATATTTCGTAAAGTCTTTTCGGGTGATCTGCTGATTTTTTTTCAATTTGGTTTATTCTTTAAATACGTCCGCAGAAGTTGCAAATAAGTCGCTTAATGTAGAGTTCAGCTCTTTTGTATCCAACCTGTTATTTTAGTCATCAGTAAGATACTAGTAAAGTACTGCAGAGATGAATATTTTCGTAAATATTTATCATTTGTTAAATGTCAACTTATATAACCAAGTTTGTTAGCGATAATGTGGTTTGCGCTTTTTCTTGTCCCTGATTTCGAATTTCATTTAATGATAAATTTATGCGATTTAATCTCAAGAAAAATGGCGAATATAAACCGCTCACAAAAATTTCCAATTTTGCAGTAATTGTTCAAACTTTAGCTTTTTTTTCGTCTTTGTTGGTTAAAGATGATTGTTTTATTTTGTCTTAAAAATTTTGAATTCCTGTACTTTTATAAGGATTGAAAATTTTATTTTGACACGTTCGAAATCTTTCTACTAATTTTTTTAAAATCATGTTAAGTGTCTTTCAATTTGTTTCTGAATGAGTCGTTTTTCCTATTATATTAGTACATTTCTTTATTATTTTTTATACAAACAAAATCTCTCTATCAACTGTGATGAAGTCACCAGCTATAGATTTGCAATCCACTCGAAAGAAATGGAAGCCCCTCCCCAAATTATTATTTTGATTTCAATAACATGATATATTATGGTCACTCATTTGTAAAATGGCTATTTTGACTGACCAACATGCTGCTGACTGCAGTTTCAATGTATATGATACGCAGTGTTTAAGGGGCTTTGCAAGTTACTATTCGTAATGTGGTGTATGTCATACGAGTGGGGTAACAGTATGAAGTCTAACAATCTGTATTTGTTTGCTAGTCAGTTATCGTTTGTTTTCACATCCTTGCAAGCGTCTGCTTATTTTGAACTTAATTGATCCCGTCTGGTTTCAATATTTAAACTTTTAAAACTAAATCACACAATAACAAGGAAAGAGATGCAGATAAAAGAGAGGCGAAAGATACCAAAGGTATGATAAATTCATAAGTCGAAAATAAACTGACAATGCAATGACAAATACGAAAAACGACCCACTGACTATTAATGACGTCTTTACACTAAATCCATTGGATGTTGGATGTGTACTGATTGATATCTTAGTGTTAGATACATGCTTTTTTCATTAGTTGTTATTGGCTTTGAACTAGCTGTCAGTAACTGCTAGTACTCTCAGATCTGTACTTAGCGTCTTTTTGTTTTTGGGATGTATAAGTACCCGTCCACGTCCACTTTGTGTTTTTGTTAGATGTATTTCTATTTGAATCCATCTGATGAGTTAAACCTTTTTCAACTGATTTTTATAGTTTGTTCCTATGTTGTACTGTTACACCATTGTCCCAGGTTAGGGGAAGGGTTGAGCACTCACAAACATGTTTAACCCCGCCACATTCTTTATGTGCCTGTTTCAAGTCAGGAGCCTGTAGTTCAGTGGTTGTCGTTGGTTCTTGTCTGTCATATTTGTTTTTCGTAAACTGTTTTGTTATAAATTAGGCCGTTAGTGTTCTCAATTGAATTGTTTCATATTTTTCATGTCGGGGCCTTTTAGAGCCGACCATACGATATGGGATTTTCTCATTGTTGAAGGCCGTACGGTTGCCTATAATTGCTTACATCCACTTCATTTGAACTTTGGTGGATAGTTGTCTCATTGGCAATTATACCACATCTCCTTATTTTCATATAACACTACACAAAATACAAAATATAAAACTAGAGATTGAGCAACACGAATCCCACCAAAAACCGGGGGTAATCTCAGTTTCTCCGGAAGGGTAGGCAGATCCTGTTCAAAATGTGGCACTCGTCGTGTTGCTCATGTAAGTGCAAAACCGGTGATAAGTCTAATTCGGAAGGTGCCATTTGAAGAAAAAAGAATGGGATTGTGGTTATGACTATTGAAACATATCGGTCGTCATCTGTGAAACAGATATTCCATAACGTTCAACCAACTTGTGATAGTGTCCGTAAAATTTTCGAAGGGATGATTTCAACTTCATCACTTGGAACTATTGGTTTAATAGCTACATTGAAAGCAGCAATTTTCTGTCAAGCAAATCATGATAGAAAATGCAAGCTCTGGAATATATTATCAATTGGGAGATATAAACTCCACATGCAGGCACTGCTGGAATGTTACTACCTAGAAATGGAAAGTTCCGCTCACAATTGAGAAGCTGAAATCATCTCTTTTATTGTAAAGTTTTATTATCTTCCAGCACTCACTTTGCTATTTCTAGATGTAAGTCAAGATAAAAGGCAGACTTAACTGCATCTGGTCTATTCTTTATTTCAACCTACAAGATTTTCAGACCAAGGGTATCCAGAGGACTCTCAGTAACAAAAATAATCCAAGAAAAATAGTTCAAAAAGTTGGAAATAAGGTGTTTCTCAACCAGCATTTAAACTTAGATTTGGCAATAAAAAGTCCTTTTTATACCTGACATAACTATTAAGTAGACTAGAAATGAATACCATGCTCATATTGCATTATACATAAACTTTAGTTTTCTGTTGAGTGGTTTATGGTCTGTTGTTTGTTTGTTCGTCTTTTTTGGGGTCTAGGTGTGTTTGTCTGTTTTCCTTCACTTGTGTTTTTTCTGTTGTTGTATTGACCCTGGTACCTTCTCTCCTTTCTATAATACTATAGAAAAGCAGTAAACGCATATACTCATATTCAAAAGGAAAACAGTCTGCATTTGAGGTTAAGTTATTAATAAAGTTTTTGCATTGATTTAATGAGTAAGTAAAACAATTGAAGTAATATTAAAGTTGATAAACTTTTCAAGTTCATATGCATAAAACATGTGTGGCGAGGTAGTTCTTATAATCCCTGTTTATAACCACAAAGTTTCTCCAAGGAGGTATACCGTAAATTAACTACGTTGTGACATAGTTAAGAACTCGTTGATTATCGTCTGAAGGTTACAACTGGTATACACTAGTAATTGACCTTATTGACCTGTACCGTGGCAAGTTAAGTAATGCTGTCTGTAATTAAGTGGCTGGTGGTGCTATAACAGAGACAAAATGCCTGACTGAAAACGAATAATTTCAACAGAGAAAACTGACAAATATAAAAGAAATATAAAATTTATTACAAAAAAAAATGAAATAATATAGTATTGCCCTTGGGAAATCATCTCAGCTAATTTTGAAAATATTTTAGCTAATTTTGAAAATATTTTTCCGTCGAATTCCCTGAATCCTGAGCTGTTGTAAAGCGTAGTTTGCGCGAACTATTGATGCTTGCAAAACAGTGGTTGACAGGAAATTCGACGTGACCTGTCCTATTAACTGTAGTATAACTAATGAAATGTGAGTTGTAAGTTGATAGAACTTGGGGGATAAAAAATTGTCATTTAAAAGACTGACCAGTGATAAAAAATGCAATGAATGGCAGTGCAGAGGTATTGCTGCGTAGCTGAGATCTCCCCGTCACATGCGGAATGAAGGCTGGCTGATAGGGGACACAGGCTGGTGGGAATATTTTTGTTTAGACAAGAACTGCTAACGAAACTGATCGAAACAAGAAGACAGCGTTATCTATCAAAATTATTTCAATAAAAATTATTTTAACGGCTATGATCTGACCGCTATCTGACTGCTAAGCTATAAATTCTCGACGAGACACAGAAACAAAAACAAACACCCGAAAGTCGTTATGGATCATTAAGAGAAGAACTTCTCAAATGAGCAATAAAATGCAGCTGTCGAAACAATTATAAACCAAATTATATGCTATATATTCAAATAATTTAACACAAATCTCATGACAATTGCAATAAATATTATTCAAAATACTTTTAGTGTCCCTAAGTATATTATAGTGGAACTTACAAACTGAAAAATGTGTATGCCTATCGTATTAAATCGGTATGAATAATTTGGGATATGGGATAAACGTCAATGAGCCAGCAACCTCTCTACACAAATTAACCAAAAGACATGCAAAGGGCTACATGTAACAAACAATAAACAAGTGTCTATCATAAGTCTGGCTCTTAATAGCCCGAGTATTATAATAATATAAACCAAGTTAAAATAACAAATAGCAAACACATTAAGATACAACATAAGACAAGCGCTTACGATGTTCCTGATTTTTACATGAACATACGGTCAACATGCGTTCTTCGACAATATTCAAGTTTCTAAAAAATATTTCATGCTCTAAATGGTCCCAAATCCATAAATGAAGATGACAATAAATCTAACAAAGACAATTAAAGGAAACAATCAGCAAAACATTACCCAAAACACCAAAAAAAATACATTATAACTGAAGACAAACCTTTTGGGACGATTTAATGAACATCTAACAAACATTTAATGATACACGTTTTTAATAAATCTAAAGAAAGAATGACAAAATCACGAGTACTGTTTCACTCTGCATGTATGAGAAGTCCAAGAAATGATGACTGAGGATAATTATCATGGCTATAAATGCCATGGCTAGTCGATTGTCCGGTCGAGCGGATCCATGCATGATCTCCCATTTCCATTCTACACAAAGCCGTCATTGATCCTGAAGGATAACCTCCGGCAGCGTTCTGTACTCCAGCCGTAGAAATAATTTGACTTTCTACTACAAGTTCCGTTACGATCCAGCTACCACCATTTCCTGAAACTGTCCAGGAGAACATGTACGTTCCTTTCCAAGGTGCAACGAACACTCCATCGTACTTATCATATAATCCTCCTACGTTCACGATAACTGTTTCAAAAACCAATATGGTGTCGATGTTGTAAGTTAATGTCTTTTCTTTCATGATAGCATAAAACATGGTGTGGCCTGTTTTCTCTAAAAATGAATATATGAATTATATTAAGCCTTCAGTTGTATAGTATTTGTGTTTTTCAATAATGTTAATGTTATAAAAAAGAGGTAGGACCAATTTCTCTTGAATTTATTTCACACCAGGGACATTTTCAAAACGTTGTTTTTGCTAAAATTAAAAGTATGCTGGACTAGTACAGTATACCTTCTTGTTTAGGGGCCTCAGTGTGCGGTATTGTTTGCTGCTTTGAAGACCCATTGGTGACCTTGGGCTGTTTTCTGCTCTTTGGTCGGGTTGTTGTCTTTTTTACACATTCCCCATATACATTCTCAATTCTATTACTTCGTTTGGTTAAAACAGCACTATGGCGCATTATGGACATATATCAAAGTTTTAAATGCCTGACAATGGCTCAAAACTGCACTTTTAGTATAGAGTTTCGAAATATTGATTCAGTAATGCAAAGTTGTAAAAGAAACAATTGCTGATACAGAACGGAAACTCATTTTATATAGATATGTCTTTCCGAAGAAAAAAAAAATGAATGTTGTTACAAAAAATATACAAGATGTGTGATATTGTATCAAAACTGTTGTCAAACATCAATGTATAACATACGGTCAACATACGGGCTAAATAACATTTCGATTTCTTGGATGCGTTTAAAATCATTTCAAAATCTTGAATATATATGATTTAGGCGCTTTAAATTGAAATAATTTGTAGTATTTGTAACAAGCAAAAACAACACTTTATACATTGTGTGTGTCTGACGCGTTTTTATGGATTTACTTTATTTAGGAATGCTGAGACCTAATTTTTTGAAAGCCAATGGTGTATAAATATCTAACAAACCACTTAAGATAAATAAATTTTAAACGCCATTTTAATTTTAACACTGTGAATGACACTCTGAAAAAAATCGGTCCTATCTCATTTATCTTTAATTCCACTAGCCTGTGTGGAATTCGTGTATTTCATGTACCAACAATTTATCTAGTATCTATCTGACAAAGTTATTCACATGTTTGAAATTGTTGCAGCATAACATTAAAACAGAACAAATGTAATCAAAAACTAAATAGTGTTTAGGTTTGCATTCAAATTATAACTAATTCTAACATTATATCCTACCTTTCTGGAAAGTTGCGTTCAGTTTCTGTAGTTTTTGAGTAAGATTGCGAACTTCATCTCTTAGTCCTGCCATTTGTCTTACTGTCGATTCTTGTTGAATAGATAAAGATTTTGAAAAGAAAGCAAGGAAACAAACAACTAATAAGATCATTCTAGAGTCCATAGTCAATGCATGAATGTATTGCCCCCTGACTTATATTTGAGTTTTTAGTGTTAAACGCACTAATAAGGAAGATGTCACTGTATAGAACCTGATGTAAGTGCATATCATATTACTATTTAAAGCAGAAAAAAATATCAAGTACTTCGACATAAGTTTGAAGAAGTGTACACTTGTTCACAGTATTTTCTCATTTTAAATACCATCACTATCATCATTTGGGAACCACTATTTGCTTTCAAAATTCCTGTTTAGCGGAATTTTAAGCGGATAGACGGACTGATGAACGCTATACGCTATAATTTCGAACTTTTGGTGCTTGTATATTGTAATCTAAACATCACAATTAAAATGTATGTTTGTATATCTTGTCTATACTAAAGTTCCTCTTTAAGACTGAACAAAACATTAATTAGCGGTTTTTGGAATAATTAAAAAAAAAAAACAATTATTGTGATGTCGGTAATATGTCTGTTCTTTCAAGCAGAAATGTGTGAAAGTTATACCACACACCACTACGGTTCATTTTCGTCAACAATCTAATGAAGAAGGTATGATAAGTAAGCAGCAACATTAGTTTACTAATATTGAATTCTCATCATTCTATATTATTAAGAAGATAAACATCAAGATGTATAACAAAAAGGGGGTCGCATGCGAGAAAATAAAATCAATCTCGTATCTGTGAAAAAAATCAAGAACCGACAACAAATATTCATTATACCAGCGCCAGATGCATCTGTGGTTAATAATTTTCTTTTGATATTTATGATGACGCCTCCAGCTCCGTTTATTTCTCTTATAGAAGCAATTAAAGTTTTACCTATTACTTATTAAGTAATATTTTTTATGATAGAGTAATGTTATAATTAGAATCACTCCCTGATACTCTCTGATATTATCCATGAAAGGGATGTTCCATTTTGTGGCCCTGTGAACAGTCCGTCGGTTGCACGGTATCTTTGTACATAATTAAATATAGTAGTTTCAGAAACATTTGTTTGACATCGATCCATTTAGAGTTCATGTGATTAACTCTGTTTTTTTATTGGTTGTTGCAATCAAAATATTCGCAATAAAAATGGCGACATGGTATGATTGCCAAAAAGAAAACTATTCATAAGAGTCTAAATGACGTAGATGTATGCAATTATAAGTCACTATACAGCCTTCAACACTGAGTAAAACCCATACCATATAGCCAGCTATAAAAGAATCCGGTACGACAAAATGTAAATTAATTCAAACGCTAAACAATGAAAGAAAATCATAAAATGATAGACAGGAAACAACAACAACCACTGAATTTAAGGCTCCTTACTTAGGACAGAAGTCTTATATGTTTTTGAGCGCTCAACCACTCCCGTAACCTGGGACAGTGGTGTTATGGCACAACATAAAAACGAACTTCAATATGGTTAGAATTATTCGATTTGCACACGGCACAAACAACAACTCTTATAAAGACAAAGAAAAAAAACACACAACTTTCTTTTAATAATCGTACGATCTAAGAGTATTGAAAGTAAACTGTCAATCTGAACACATCCAACGGATTTAGTGTAAAGACGTTACAAACACTTTAACAATAAAAAAAGCACGACAATACATAATCTTATAGTATCAACAAGATTTAGGACCATAAGTAGGATACGTAGATTTTTAATAAGGCTAAATTAAGACATCAAACTGAGACTTTCTTTAACGAAGAGCATAATTTTCGTGGATTATCCACGTTCCCAGAAGAATGGAAAAAGGTAAGAGATGTGCCACACAAATATTGTGGAAAAGAATTCGAATGGAAATAGAACACACAATAGCAAATATTAAATGCATATCTTGGACCTTGGCATTTCTTTTAACATTTATACTTGGGTTTTTCTCCCTAATTATCTTGGTAGAAATTTCCTGAGTTCCCCAGGATGCAGACTAAGGATCCCGTTCACAAATGAGCCAATGTGCCCTGGATATACGAAGCTAAGAAGATTTCTCTGTGTTCACCAAACACGACACAAATTCGAATTGGGATTTACTACATAAAATGATATTATATAATCATAATGATTATAATAGCTATCAAATATTAAACTACATGAAATAACAATTTTCTGAATGGAATAGGACCTAATTCGTGTCCGAACCTGCGTCGCTGCATGCAATTGATTTAATTTTGTTATTATAAAACACCCATGCAACCACGCATCCCATATTGCCTGATAGGACCCGACACTACTTTAGTGTTTCGGCAGTTAAAGCTTGGGATGGTCATCTTAAGATGCATTATTTTAATATAATCAAATATGAAAATTATTCATGTATATATTGATATATTCATATTTTAATTCTTCGTCAATAAATCTAGATATTATGACAGGTCTGCCATCATCAGGGGGTCCAACTGTCAATTTTATGTGAAAGTCTTTAACTTTGATCTGCAAAGCATATTTCCTACACTTTTATGTTTGCTATACGCAACTATTGGTGCAACATTGAATATTTGTACACAATCTTCGTCAAACTGCAATAAATGCCAGTGTTTCATGATACGTTTTTTTTTTTTTATTTTACGTATATTGGGTTATATTTAGTTATTAAAACTAACGGAATATTTTCTGTTTCTTTCGATTTATTTTGTTGTAATAATTCAGTACGGTCAATTGAAAAAGCATCAGTAATACTATCATCTATTACGACGTTATCATAACCCCTATCTAATAATTTCACTTTGATATTAGTTAGATTGTTTATTAATTTGTTATGGTCACTTGTGTTTCTAATCTGCCGTATTGCTTCACCTTTAATAAATCCTCAGAATACATGCTGTGAGTGACAGCTATTTCTATGCAGATACAGATAAGAATTTGTTTCTTTAAAATGTATTTCAAGGTCAAGAATGCCAATTGTTGTAAATCTTTAACCTTTAACTACATCAACATCTAAGAACGACATTTTATCGTTTGAGATTTCATAGGTGTACTTCAATAAGGGGTTATAATTGTTTGCTAGACGAAAACATTATGTAATTTCATCTGATGTTCCATCATATATTATGAATCCATCGTCCCTATATCTGCCATAATAGAATATTTTGTCTTTATGTTGAAATGCAGAAATCATTTGATTCATTATTTCGAACATAAGTATGTCACAGATTTCCGGTGAAAGGACTGCACCAATTGCCGTACCTATTATTTGTTTATATATTTTCCCATCAAATTCAAATACATTGTTTTCTAAAATGAGTCTCAACAGATGTATTAATACATTGACCGGCGGAGCATTGACTTTGAAGTTTGATTTGTCAAAACTGTCATAGGCTCGTTCAACAGCACTTAATAAAGCAGCTTCAGGATTATTAGTAAACATCTGTGTTATATTTATAAGACTTTCAAATTTTTTTGTTTGAGCGTACCTGAAGAAGGTGAATCCAGAAAAGTAATACATCATGACTAGAAAATATAGATTCTTCATTATGTATTAAACAGTAACGATAAAAGTTTCTGTATCATATCATAACGTGGAAAATATTTATTGAATGTAAAACAGTGACAGATTGATAAGGGTTTACAATGAGACGGCATTTTCTTTTATTTTTCGATACATTTAGCGTTTGCCATTGACATATTTTCATTTGTATACTAAAATCTACGGAAGCCGATAAGGGTCATTCGAAAAAAATAATTTATGTCGTAATTACGACATAGTATGTCGTAATAACGACATCGCTATATCGTAATAACGACATATTATGTGGAAATAACGACATCGCTATGTCGTAAAAACGACATATTATGTGGAATTAACGACATCGCTATGTCGTAATAACGACATCCTCATAGCATTGAAACACTATGGGAAACAACATTTTCATCTTTATTTTAAGAACCACTTATCAGAATTGAATCAAACTTGATATACGTTTGCACTATAAGGTCCTATTCAAGTGTTGTTATTTATAGTTACCAATTGGTTAAAACACATGACCGCCAAGGGACTTTGAAAATGTTCAAAATCTTCTTCTCAAGATCGCTGAAATGACTGAGTTTAAACTTAGTATAAATATACATTGTGTACCTAGTATCCAGGTCCTTAAAATGAGTTGTTACGTTTTGACCTGATCCGAAGTTAGATATGGCCGCCAGTGAGGGCAAAGTTTGTATCAAAACCCTATCGTAAACATATTCATTTTCTTTTCGAGAATGATAAACACTGAATTTAATCAAGCTTGATTGATATTAAAGTTATTTACTCTACATATCTGCACATAATAGAACTTTATTTCATAATCAAGTCTAATGGGACCCATTGAAATGGTGAACGATTCAGGCTCCTTGGAGCCTCTATTAATATTTGGCATGTATGTAGATCACATCAAGAAGACGTGTTTAGTACCCGAAGGGTTATGTGTGCTATTGCAATTGCTTGACGTCCGTCATCGTCTGTAGTTAAAATCTGCTATTCGCCATGTGGTCTATTTGTATAGTAATGTGAAAATAATTGTATAAAGTTCGTTTTTTTATATCCTGTGGCGTTTGTCGTTGATGAAATATGTTCGTTGTTGTTCTGCAGAGTACATGTTTTGCGACTATTACTACACTGTAGTATATTATTTGTTTGTGCGTTTCTCTGTGATGAATGTTCTTGCGTGTGTTTGTGCCGTCATTTCAGCGATATTTTCTAACATTGTCATAAAACGGGAGGTTTCAAATTGGCTATCCATTAAACCAAGTTCAACCCACCATTTGTTCTTAAAATGTCCTGAACCAAGTCAGGAATATTACAGTTGTTAACGAATATTTCGTTCTATGTATGTTACGGGTTTATTTTTGTTCACTTCAGTGTTCCTGTTGTTCGTTTATTTTCCTCTTACAGTTGATGTGTTTCCCTCGGTTTTAGTTTTACCCGGATTTGTTTTCTCTCAATCGATTTATGACCTTTGAACACCGGTATACTACTGTTGCTTTTATTAAGTATCAGTGTCCATGTTGTTGGTTGCCGGTCATAATCGACGGACGCCAAGTGATGACAATACATGTAGCTATCCCCAAAAAATGTTTTAGAGGACACAACTCAGA